CAGGATAATTTTAAGCTGGAAAAAGTGTTGTCAGGCCTTGATAGATTTGTATACCTTTTATACAAATCAAAAATACACAAAACAATCAATCAACTTTAGTAGTTCATGTATGCCCACAATCAACTTGTAGGTGGAAAAATGCCACCAACAATGGAAGCACTTAAATTACTTATACTGCGCTTGCATTATGTCTCAATGATATGGATTCAATCTGAAAGGAGTCATCAACATTTTTCATATTGAAAAGATATATAATGGTATCTGCTTCATCATCATTGTTGATGTTCACATCATAGTCGATGGTACCCTTGATAAATTTCACATTGAGCAGATTACCTTTATTATTAGTTTTCTTCTTTATGAAAGAGAAAGTAAATGCTGGCAAATCAAACAACAATTTCTATGTGTTGAAGTTTTCGATAAGCAGAAAGGAGTTGATATGGCCAATCTTAACACTGATATGATTGCAAGACTAGATTTGGGTATTCGAAACTGTCGCGGTCAAAGATACGATAATGGATCCAATACGTCAGGTGTTTACAAGGGAGCTCAAGCCATAATGATAAATGGCTCTTGGTTGCAGGTTTTCCAAAAGGCTGTAGCTGGAACGCAAAGCAGGGGCGGATCCAGCAATTTAGGTCTTTGAGTTTGTTTCCAGACATGGAGCAAACTCTATGTTTGAAAATTACCTATCGCTATACTTTTTTGTACTATTCTTAACTAGACTTACATTCATCAATAAACTTTAAGTTTTATAGTATAACCTCTCAAAAATTATGCCCATATAAAATTGAGGATGGTTCAAACTTTATATGGTCCTAATTTTTGAACACTGAAATATTTTACTATGAAATCTAAAATTTATTGATGAATATAAGTCTAGTTAAGAGTAGTAAAAAAAAAACATTTTATCAACTTGTTGCTCTCACGTTTGGGGCAGTGGGCAATAATTCTGGGACTTTTTTGTTCTCAGACTTTAGTAAACGTTATTTTTTGCAAAGCATCTTTATTTGACATAAGTATAAACATATAAATGCTTGGAGTTTGCTCCATGTCTTAAAGTTAGCTATCTGAAAGACCAAAAAATGCTGAATCCGCCCCTGCCGTTAAGAGAAAACTGAACTTGCTAATAAAAGTAAGCAAAAAATTACGTTCTTTTAATCTCTTCGTTTGACCAAAAGCCAGTATCGCGTTACTAATCTTTTGATTATTTTGATTGAAGAAAGTTTGGTTAAAAAGGTTAGCTATTACAATGTTGTCATTATTTGGAGGAGAGGGCCAGAAAACCTTGAAAAATTCATTTTCAGGCACCTTATTTACCTTTTTTGAACATTTTGTTGATTGATTTTTTGTTTATTGGTTCAAATCTAATATGAATTTAATATGGCTCAAATCTAATTTGAATCATATGTCAGTTTTGATTAACGAACTGTTTCTTAATTCAGAGAATTAATGGTAAATCAGAAATACAATGTGGTGTATCAGAAATAATAGTTGCTGTGTTTACTAAACGTTAATTTCTTGGTTTAAAATAGTGGTGAAGTTCCCTATTTTTGACTAGGGCACCATTGGGGCTCTTAAAAGCCAAATATGAAACTTGCAATATTAACTCAAAATCTAAAGTTAGATCTAAAATTTTATATATATTTAAACAAATATATATATATATATATATATATATATATATATATATATATATATATATATATATATATATATATATATATATATATATATATAAATATTTTGAAAATATATTCTACAAAATAGAGTTCTCAATGTTCTTAAAAGAACAGAGCAATTATAAATTAGTAGAAAATCACTTAACAAAATTTTTTTTTCATTTTACACTATGTTTCATCAACAAAGACATCAGAAATGAATGATCAAATTAATAAAACTTCAATTTATACCAAAAAATTAAATTAGAGGAAGTCGCAAATGCTTTAACTACTGTAAATTTTCACACATTTGTGGAATTTGCTGACACTATTATAAAAAGAATTCTTTAGAAATGATTACTTATGCCTTTTTTTTTTTTTAATATTTTTAAAAAAGGGGGAATTTAATGTAACTATTATTTGAGCTCACTTATTTTTATAGTTTTTTAGGAGAAACTTATTTTCGTGCCTGCATTTAGAAATCAATTCCGATTTTTTGTTTAACAAACATTCTTGGTTTGCATGTGTAATTATTTGAAATTTTTCTTGTAGACATAGTATGCATTTTTTGGAAATATTGTTGTATGCAGGCGCTGTTTTAAGGATGGACCAATTCAGTATAAAATCATCAATGTTTCTATCTTTTAGTTCCCATATATTTTGACAGCGTGATGTCTTTTGAATACTTTTTATTTTTAAAAGATTGCTTATGATTGGCAAAACGTTTTTTCCATTCACCCTCTGTTATGCCAATATATTGTTTATCGGGTGCATTCTTAGAGGAAACAACACATTTATATACCACATTTTTTGATAAACAACTTCCACGCAATGGACAATTTTTTTTTTGTAATTATCGTTTGGTTTTTTGAAAGACTTATATGAATTTTCAGAGAGGTTAAATGTGACATCAAGAAAGTTCACAATTTTTAAATTTATGTTTATTTCGATTTGAAAGCCAATATTTTTAAAAAATTTTATAATATCTTTTTGAATCTTATCAAGCTGCGGACCAGATTTTTTACGCATTACTATTAAACCATCGTCGCGATAAAGGCCTAAATCATTTATATTGATTGTTTTACTTAATAAATCTAAAATGTATAGTTCAACAAACTCATAAATTTCTGCTTCGTCATAACTGCCCATTGTCACATCAAAGCAGTCGCTTATATTTTTCTTTTTCCAAGTTTCCTTATTAAAGTAAAGTAAGGTTTTTCTACAATGTTTTATTATACGGATTGTTTCTTCAGGAATAACTGTGTGGCTTTTTGCAAATTTGATTGTTTTATTTAAAATATCTGCAGTTATTGAAGGCTAAAAATCACTAATGCCAAATTGAATAAATGTACAGTCATCTTTATTTTCGATTATTGAGAACCAATTTATAACATCAGTGGTATTTTTCCACTGTTGCAAATTTAATTTATTTCTAAGAATATTATTAATTTTGTCCAATTTAATTTTGCTTACATGTCCAATCTCACTTTTTGAGGGAACCAATAACCTACAAGGAAGTTTGTTTTGAAAGTTTGGTTTATGGTCTTTTAGTTTTACAAAGGCTTGGACAGGGGCAGTATATTCGATTCTGTTATCAAGGTTTACTTTTTTAGCAATACTTTGGGCTTCTAAACTAGTTGCGTTTTCCAAATTTTTGGGGCTTTCTCATAAGAACTAGTAATATTGTCGCATAAAATTTTTTCATAGTTTTCTGTTGTGAATCGGTAATGTTATTTGTTTTATCAGCAAAAACTAACCCATTTGGGTTTGATTTAATTTTTTTAACATCTAACTTTAATTCTATTTGATATTTATTTTTTATAAGGCAAAACTTTATTGTTTTAATTAAATGCAATAGATCATTTTCAAAATTTTTCAAATTAGGTATAAAAAGTGGGATATTTTTTGTTTTAAATCCATAATTATCATTATCTTAGTTATTATTAAATACGTCATCTGTGTTTATATTTGGTTTTAAGAAAAAATGGGTTTTCCAACGAATTCTTTTAATAAAATGCTTAACTTTTTCAATCAAAGAAATAGTATAACTTTTTTTGTCTAGCATAGGTATATTTTTCAACGAGTAAGTGAAATTATTAGTTTCCATATTTACACGGAATGTTAAAATACAATAAAGAGTGCTTAACAAATGTTAAAAAGGTGCCTAATATATATTTGAACAATTTAAAAAAATTTATTCTACATTTTTTTAAATTGTTTTTTTTTTTAATATTTGTCGCATTATTTTATGTCTGATAACGCTCCATTATATTCAGATCAAAATACAACGAAAACATGCTACTGTTATTGGATGAATTTAAAAAATAATTTAATCAAGTTTTTTTGATTTTGAAATTTTGATTTTGATTTTGATTTTTTTTGAAAATATGGTTTGGCAAAGTTCTAGTCAACTTTACCGTAGAATAACCGGTGTTCGACTCAGGGAGAATTTACTGTGTATGATTAAAAATGGAGCGAACAACAAGTTAACAAAAAATAAAAATGGAGTTAACAATATATTAACAAAAAATTAGAATAGAGTAAACAACAAGTAAAAAACTTTAGATAAAAGTTGTCATATGAAAGAATAACAGCCAAAATAATGAAGAAACTTTCTATTTATTTTATTTATTTCATTTATTTATATAAGTTTCTTCATTAGTTTTCCACATTTGTATAATAAAAAATGAAAATTAAAAAGTCTGCAACGTCTAAAAAAAGTTCTTATTTGTGCGTAGGAGTAAAAGCTACACACTGATGTGGACGAAAGTGTGGAGGAAAACGCTACATTTTTTGTAGTTACAGTAGTGTACCACATTCACACCGACAATAAAACAAGTTTTAGTTGTAGTAATTTAAACACATATTATATTTTTTTCACTAACATCAAATTTAGAACTAATTATAATTACTCAAAAAGACAATAAGAACATAAGACAAATATAAGACAACCTTGCAATGTTATTTTAATAAGACACGATTAAGATGCAGTTTATTAAATTATACATTATTTAAAGTTTCGTGCGCTGAGGTGTTAGTAAAGTTTAAACTTTTTACTTTAAGTAAACTTTAAGTATTATCAAAACATTTCTTAACAAGTATTAGTTAAATACCACATTCTAATGCACAATTATACTTTACTAGAGCCTCATTATTACTATGCTATATCTTTAGCCGGGGCGCAATGATTAAAGCTCTATACATAGATACAAGAGTTTGGAACATTTATCTTGCTCTAAGTAAACAAGTTATCAAAGCACGATAATATTGCTAAGATCAATCTAAAATTTTCCTAACAATTATTTATAGGTTGAATAATTAATAAATTAACAATAAAAATATAAAATTCAATTGATATATAAAAATAAATTACAAATCCTATTACTTTATAAACACATTACATTTTTACAAACTTTTACTTATGGGTTAAAAGTTATGAATTATATTCAAAGTTTATGGATGCGTCAATGCGCCGGTTCAGGTATTAATAGCTATTTTAAACTCTTAGCAATTTAAAGCAGTGTAAACTACAAAGTACGATATTAACAGGTAATACCATTTATTATTGCATGCTTCTTATCTTCTTTAGATACACGTAATAAAGAGTAGGTACACATTACTGAAGCAAGTAACTGCAAAAATATTGTTACCCACGCCAAAAAGTAAGTCGAGTATGGTTTGGTATTCGATGAAAATCCTTCAAAGCTATATATTAGTGTAGCTATCAGCAACGAAATGGCTAAAAAAAATAAAATTTTGTTTTGATTTATACTATTATAGTGAAAAAGGCGCGTACCGCATCATTCACACATGGTCATCATTGCTTACTGAAATGCATGCGTCTACATTTATGGTTTGGCATAATACAGACACGAAACAAAAATCGAAAAATAATAAAATAGTCAGACATAGTTATGGATAGACGTAAAAAATGAAATGCACAGTTAAATAACAAAATAACATTAAAATTTACTTGTAATATGTGTAAACAACATCAAAATGGTGATTTTTAATTTTTTTCTTGCCATAGCTATCATTATGTAAACAATATTCGTAAAAAGACTGATCAAAGATATCAAACACAGCACTTGTGAAACTAAAAGCCATCCTAAAATTTTTTGAAATTAAAAAGTATAAGATTTATAATTAATGTATGTTTTCCGTTTTGATTTTCAAAAATTTACAATAATTATAAATCTTGTATCAATAAATTTAAAATATCCAAGTAAAACTAAATAATGAACAATAGTATATAATCAAGAACTATGACGCAGTTAACAAAAACCATAACGATAATACAAATGATAGAAATATAAGCTAAATTATCAAAAAGAAAATTACTTGGTATATTTGTAAGTGGGCTGCAAAAGGTTCTCTCTGATTCTCCCATGCATTCACTCCAGAGTCCACCATACCAAAATTTAATGCTTACATCGTTAACACGCTTATACCATGTATTCAAGCTAATAACAATTATTAAAAAGATCAGATTTATGCAGACCAAAATAATAGAAACGTTAGCAACAAATACAGTGGTACAGAGATATCTATCTTTTTTAAACACCATGTTTGTTTATTGCTTAAAACATAAAGTTTATTTTGATTATTGAAATTCTTGTGTTGCTAACTTATCATTCAAAATGTCATGTTTAAACACATAGTGAATAAATCGAAACTTTGGATAACTTTATACGAAATAATGATTATTAATTATTAAACTTTTTAGCGTTTCTAAAATATCTTAATAAATAAATTAAAAAAACATTTTCGTAGATTTATTAAAAATCTTAAAGTATTTACTTTTTTATTTTTAGACAAAAATATTTATAACTTAATAACAAGGTTTACTGAGAAAGCTTTTTTTAATTTTTTTTTTTTTTAGTTATATAATCACAACCGTCCATAATTATTCGCATAGCATTATGATTCAAAAGTATATACTTTAACTTAATTCATTTTTTATTCTGCGATTTTAGATAATTTAGGTTATATAATATGTATTTTGATTAGAATACTTTCATAAAAATTGTATTGTTAACAAAATACGTGCTTAAATTAGTTGAAGTAGGGTTTAGTGTTTATTTATGTATGCATTGAAGCAAGGTTTAGCGTTTATTTACATATCTACAAAACAGTACGCCTATATGTGCGCACTGTTTTGTATTTCACTCAACAATCACGTAACTATGTCTAATGTTTATGTTAATCGTTCATAAACTATGCTATTATCAAGCATGGTGTATATTTGAAGATTATATAATGTAAGTAACATAAACATTTAACTATTCATGTATATTTTCTTTCAAAAGATTTATTTATGCTATAGTTAGAGTGAATTTTCCTGGAAAGAATTTTGAGTTAGTTTCGCTCTAATAATTTAATAATTTATATAAATTATTAATAATTTTACATGATTAATAATTTTACATGATAAATGGTCAGAAAACGAGAGTTAATGGTAGAAAAACAGTCTGCAATATTCACATTGTGACAAGAAAAATATTCTACGAGTCAAATAGCATAAAAATTCAAGATATCGAGTTCGAGAGTTTGGAATGTTATTAAATAGAAGAAAGAAACTAGCAGTGTTGTTAATCAAAACAATCGGGACTTTTTTGAACCATATTTGCCGCCAAAGATAGAACAAGTAAAAGAAATAGATTTTAACTGTTACAGAATTACCCAATATTTTGAATTATTACCAAGGAGCTCCGCTAAATGTGACAAGGATGAAGAGGCGAGATATTAACAAAACTTAGTGAGATATTAACAAAACTTTTACGAGAAACCAAAAAATACATACCTAAGTTCAATAAAGTGCAGCCGTGGCGCAGTGGTTAGAGCGTAAAGTAAAGTAAACTTTTAAATTATTTTGGGTTACAATTGTTGTTTATTGAGATAACTGGTATAGCAACGGTTGCTAAGTGGCAATTTCGGAAGTACTTTTTGTAATTTGAACTAATTTAATAAAACGAATATATTTAGCCTGATGACTAGTATAACCAGTCATAGAATAATTTGTTTTTTTTATTCATTATTTACTTCATTTGCATTTTTTGAAAAATTGAAAAATTTACTTTTGTGCTCATAGTTTGCTAAAATTTTAAAGATGTTGTTGACAAAACGCATTGAAATTTTTACAAGTAGTTAAGAATGGGTATGGCTACAATGAACCTCAATCAAACATTAAAATCTAGTAGATTTTTTTTTTGAATAATTTTAGGGCAAAAAATGTGAATGTTGTCGTAAACTCATTATAACTAAGTGTAGAATTATTATCCAACTTTGGTTTTAGGTTCAGATTGTAATTGGTCCTTTATTAATATACCCTGAAAATTTTAGTTCAAAAAGTTGCTGAAAATTTCAGGAAACAGATCCAGTCCTTTTTTATCCTTTATCTCATAAATTTCAATAATAACTTCATTCTCAGAAACGACGTCACGCTAAATTTAATTTTTGAATAAAGTTGGAGATCATTTGCGATAGCTGGATGTAATTTGCGCTCTTGCACTGAGATTTTCAATGAATATGAACCCCTGTAATACTTTCAAAGCCTCTGCGCAAGAGAGCCAATATTTCTTACTTTTATTTAAAAGATAAATTTAGTATGACGTTGTTTTGAGCCTTTAGTTAATCATAAAATAACTTTTTTATTTGATGAAACCAGTTAATTAAATTGGTAAAGAAGTACTGTAGTTATTATTTTAATTTAGAAGTACTGTAGTAAAAGCAAATTATTTGAAATAATTTGCAATGCTTTAACAACTGCAACTTTAAAAGTTTAAAAAACAAAACGCTACATTTAAAGTTCGCGAAACATAAAAGCAGTAACTTTCTAAACACAGATAAAACGGAAAAAACAAAACGGAAGCTTAAGTAGACTACTATCAGTCTAGTAATCAGTTATATTTGAGAAATATCAGCATTTCTAATGCATATGCTGAAAACATTCTAACACTGGCAGTACTTTTATTTGGAATAGCCAATAACTTTTTAGCAATTAACGCCATTTTCGGAAGCTTATGTTCATGTTCATTATCTTTCCAGAATTGTAATGCATCACACGTTGTCACTTGCAGTGCCAAGTGTTTATCAAATTTATGTCTTGTGCCATTACTGCCAGCCTTAGGCAATGGAGTAGCAGCTTTAAAGTCTACTTATCAATCATACGATTCAGGGTCACCTTTACTCTTTTTTGATGAGGCAGTTGATTTGAATGACCACATTCACTAAAGATCTTCATATCTGTACTGCCATATCTGTATCTTGTGTATCATCTGAGGTGTTGAAGAAGATATGATTTTGTCTACCATACAACGAATCTCTAAAAGATACAAAAATTGCGATCTTTTGCATTGACGAAAAACAAGTATTTTAAGAAAGAACAATAAGTGTTGATAGCTTATGCAAAGGATGAGTAATATATCTTTTTAATCAAGCTGGACAGAAAAGCTGCTTTCAAATTACACATACTGTCACTGTCTGAACCATTGATCTGACTGCAAATAAAACAGTATTATGTTATGTGTTGTAGATTTATGTGTTAGGATATGATAGTTATATATTTTTTTAAATTATGCATAATTATACATATAATATTATATATATATATATATATATATATATATATATATATATATATATATATATATATATATATATATATATATATATATATATATATATATATACATATATATATATATATATATATATACTTATATATATATATATATATATACTTATATATATATATATATACTTATATATATATATATATATATATATATATATATATATATATATATATATATATATATATATACTTATATATATATACATATATATATATATATATATATATATATATATATATATATATATATATATATATATATATATATATATATACATATATATATATATATATATATATATATATATATATATATATATATATATATATATATATATATACATATATATATATATATATATATATATATATATATATATACACATATATATAATAATTTTACATAATTCTCATGTGTATATAATTATGTTATGTATTGTAGAATTATGTATTAGATTATGGTGCGATAATCACCATTACATATAATGGTGCGAATTTCAATCTAAACTCTAAATCTCTTTTCGATTTTTTTTTTTTTTTTTGTTATATAAACTTTTGCTATATAAACTTATTCAAGTCGTAAACCATAATATAAATACAAATAGCAGGGGCAAGAAGAAGACATAATTGGTCTTATTACCAAGCCCCTTAGTCTATACCGTAAATATAACACAACAAAAAATTAAAAAACGTAACACTATATAATATGAAACGTTTTTTTTAGAGACTTAGTAAAAAAAAATCATCGGTAGGACCTAAAGTTTAACTTTACTTTAACTTTTTGTTTTTGTATTGGTGAAGAAAAATTTTAAAAAAATAAAAAAAAAAATAAAATAAAAAAAAACTATTTTACTAAAAAGCATGCGAGCAATACGCATAACCCTGAAGTGTTCCTTTTTCAACAGCATATACCTTGAAATATGTGAATAATTCTTATTAATCATAATTTAAAAAAAAAAGAAATTAAAAAAAAGAAAAAAAGAATTGAAGCAATAACAAGTGGCACAATTCTTTTCTAAGATCGTCAAGCCGATAATGACAAATCTTTACTTGTTGGGTAAGTTTAACAGTAGCAATCATTATAACTTCAGAAAAAGCTGAGCGCTACGTCGTTTATCAATGGTTTGGTTAGGGTAATGATACTTTGTTCGGTTCGTTTCGTTCCCAAAAATTTTAAAGTTTGAGTTTGGGTTCGGTTCGTTTCCTATCTCTATCTTGTAGACTGTTAGTTAGTAGTAAGTTAGTATGACACAGCCGTTTAAATTTTTGCTTATAACAAAATTTTATAAGCTTAAAAATCAGAGTAAGAAACATTAAAAGAAACACTTGGTATTTTCAGCTTTCAAAATCTCTAGACACAACTCTCACTTTTAAAATACTACACAATTATAATACAATGACTATATCATCTTGATGCGTTTATTTCGGTGTTTCTGACACTGATTTTCAAGAGTTTTTGCTCTGATTTGCAATATGCACGTTTATGCGTGTATATTTGTTGTGTGCAATTTATTTATTTCTTGCTTTTATTTTTTTGGTAGGCTCTCTTGTCAAACCCTTATTCCGACGCTGCCCTTAAGGTCCGAAAATGTAAATAAACGACTTTTTTATTTAAAAGAGAACCTGCCTACCCCAAACCCCCAGTCGTTGTTTGCACACTCCGTCGCATGTTCTCTCTAAAAATCAGTCGGTGTACGTGCGCATACACCGACTGATTTTTAGATACCACGTGACTATATTTTTAAACCTCATAAAACATGTGTTGAAATTGAATAAAACTCCTTGCGATAAATCACGTGACAAGTTATATGAAAATGAAATAAGTTGCGCTGGGTAGTTATAGATTAAAAAACTTTCAAATGCTAATTTTCTGTTTAAAAATTATAAGTGAACTTATAATTTATTTTATTAGTTATATTATTCATCATTTAGGTTTATTAAATAAAAAGAGATACTCCATTTTTTATGGAATCCTAAATAATGGAAGTTATTTAGGATGCATTTCATCTTGATTCAAATAAGTATATTATAAACTTTTAGAGCATATTATAAACTTTTAGAAGCAAAGTGAATTAACTTGAAGAAACTGAGATTTAATAAACTTCAGGAACTTCATAAGTGCTGTTTTATATTGGCTAATGAGATGTTATTATGAAAATATTACTGCGATGACATAATAGAAGAATAAAATTAATAAATCATATTTGCAGGTGGAAAGATTTTTAAATTAATATTAAACAGCAATTGAGTAAACCTAAAGAAAATTCAGCACTGCACATATTTTTAAATGTGTTCAAAACAATCAGATCACTGAAAAATTAATGTTTAAGTATCAAACAATAGTAAACAGGCCGCGATAGGATCATTATCATTCGGTAATGTATATACATTACTGAATGATAATGATCCTATCGCGGCCTGTTTAATATTGTTTTGATACGCGCACAAGAAATATAAGAGCGGCAATAGGCCGGGTGAATAAAAATGAGCAATTGCTTTTACTCAGTACTTGGTCAGCTTTACGCGAGTAAAAACTTTAGGAGTTTTGCTCAAATTTTTATTCACGTAAAGTTAAGCAATTTATTTAGTAATTGTTCAGCTTTACGCAAATAAAAACTTGTTTAGCTAAAGCAAAATTGCTAAAATTTTTATTCATGTAAAGCTGACCAATTACTGAGTAAAAGCAATTGCTAATTTTTATTCACCCAGCCTAATGTCTTGAAATCACTATTTTTTATTACAGAATAAGTTTATATGCTATGCTGATTTAAAAACTTAAGATTTATTTGTTAATAACCGTTGTGGAATCAAAAACGAAACTTACCGTTGGCCGAACGGTAAAATTCGTTTATTAAAAAAACTACCCCTTGAAAAGGCATGAAAAGTCCGAACTTTTATTTGGAAAAAATTTCTTAAAATGAAATTTTTAGTTGAGCGCAATTCATTAAAAAGCCATATTTATAGCGAATGCTCACCATGTGCGCGCGCTTTTGTAGTGCGAGAATTTAAATTATAAATGCTTAAATAAAGATAATAATAAAAAAAGTAAAGCAAAGCAAAATATAACAGAATGATCACCAAAATACTATCATGTGGCGATAAAAATCGATGAAAAACTATATTAAAAAAAGTTGAAAGCTATGCAATTATGTTAATAATTTAGACATATAGGGACCATCAAGAGAATAGCCGAGCTTTCGGTAGTAATCGCGAGTACCAACACCTGATATCACAACTATTTTTTTAGAAAAATGTTCTTCTTTGGCAATACGAGCAGCTTCTTCCATTAGTAATGTTCCAAAACCCTAAGGACAAAATATAATAAGTATAAAACTTTTACAGTTTTCGATAGGTCAGGCAAATAAAAAAAAGCAATTGCTTTTACTCGAGAAATTAGGCCGGGTGAATAAAAAAAAGCAATTGCATTTACTCATTAATTGGTCAGCTTTACGTGAATAAAAACTTTTAGAGTTTTACTCAAACTTTTACTCAATTAATTTAAGCAATTTACTCAGTAATTGCTCAGCTTTACGCGAATTAGCAAACTTTAGGCAAATTGCTCTAGTTTTTATTCACGTAACTAAAACTCTTACTAAAAACATCTCTATCTGACAAAATCGGGCACAACCAAGTAATAATTTTTGATAAAATCTTTTACACGGTTGCTTCAAACTTATTTCGTATTCATTAGATATTTAAGTCTAAATACAAGAAATTTTATTTCCAATAAACTTTGGTTAATGATGAAGCTGAAGAACAGATGTGGTCTTAGGGGAGGAGGGGTAAATAATTACATTGACGAAATTTAGATATGATTAAAACATGCCAAAAGGATAGTAAAAATGTTTAAAATGCACTAAAGTTCAAGATATCAAGAAATCAAACCCTCCCCCTCCCCCTACGAAAACATGGATTATAAAATGCTATATTTTTGAGAAGTATGTTACCTGGTGCTGAAACTTTGTTGGATCCCGAGCGTTGATTGGTACAACACTTCCATAGACATGAAGTTCGCGTACTATTGAGCACCCACCTTTAAGCTCAGGTCGAAACACATCCTCAGAACATTTTCGCAAGCGTAGTAGTCCGACTAAAATATCTTGATCCGGATCTTCATAAGATAAAAATGTTTCCCAACCTGAAACATAATCTCGATGAGAAACTGCAGAACAACAATGTCTACTAACCCTCCATATTATTTCTCTAATCCTATAACATTATCAAAAGCAACTAAAAAAAACACATTAATACCACATTAATACTACATTAATACCACATTAAAACCACATTAATACCACATTAATACCACATTAATACCACATTAAAACCACATTAATACCACATTAATACCACATTAATACCACATTAATACCACATTAAAACCACATTAATACCACATTAATACCACATTAATACCACATTAAAACCACATTAATACCACATTAAAACCACATTAATACCACATTAATACCACATTAAAACCACATTAATACCACATTAATACCACATTAAAACCACATTAATATCACATTAATACCACATTAATACCATATTAAAAATTTACAATTTATTTTAAGACAACTTCAATTTCTAATGTCAAAAATATTATACCTTGATTTGCAACATAATCTCTACGAATAAGTTCAATTTCGTAAGGTCGAATATTTTTATGAATTGCTTGTATACCAACTTCTCTGGTACGAACATCTCGACACTACACATAATAAAAACCAATTAAATTTGTGTCAGATTAAAAAATAGTAATAATATCAGACCCAGGCTTTTTACAAAATATCATATTTAATTTTATAAAATTATTTTAATCATTGGCATTGTAATAACCTTAAATTCTTAAACTTATAAAGCCAACTTGCAACCATCGACTAAAAAATTAAGACGGCTTCATATTTCAGCAAAATAACAACCCAAAACACTCCGCTAAGAAAATGATGTTTTAGTTTGATATAAATAAACTTTATTTTTTTATAATGGCCATCTCAAAGTTCGGTATTGAATCCAATAGAAAATTTGTGATATATTTTGGAGAAAACACTGTATATATATATATATATATATATATATATATATATATATATATATATATATATATATATATATATATATATATATATATATATATATATATATATATATATATATATATATATATATATATATATACATATATATATATATAATATTACTTTCGTAAATATAAAACTTTCGAAACTACCTCAGTCCCAAAATCTTTCATTCTTGCAAGTGCTAATTCTCTTAAATTTCCATGCTCTACACCAGATGTTACAAGTGGCATAGGTATATCACGCTGGACTCGGTAAACACGTGTCCAAGGGGGTACAAGAGCAAGTATACGAGCAATTAAGTCAACAAGAGCACCAGGAGGATAGCTTTTATATCGGCCAGTCTTCCAAAGCTCATACAAACCTGTTCCACGAATTACTAAAGTTGGATATATTTTTAACCCATCTGCTCTAAACGCAGGGTTTTCAAAAAATTCAACAAACTGCTCAATATCTCGTTCCATATCAACATTAGGTAAATCTGGCATCATGTGAGCAATTACTTTGTAACCCGAATCTTTACCCAATTGAAACGACTCACATACAGCTTTGACTGTGTGACCTCTAAAACAATCATTAAGATTGTTAAATTACCTCAAAAGACTAACTTCTGTTAATACTAAAAACACAAATTTGATAAAATTAATACCTATTAGTATCTCGTGCAACATCTTCATATACACTTTGAACTCCTATTTCCAACCTAGTGCAGCCGTATAACAGCATGGAACTGATGTGTCGTTTCAGACAGTAGTCAGGGCGTGTCTCAATTGTTATACCAATACACTTGGTTTTGCTTTTTTCAGAATATCTAAAATTAATCAGCTCAATAATTTTTGTTACATTAACTGGCAACATGAAAACATTCTAGGACTTGTAACAAATTCTGGGATAATAACAAATTGGTTTACTAACCATAATCTTTTTGAAAAGAAATAATTTTTTTATAAATACTTTTAACTATAACATTAAAACACATAATAAATTATTTAAATATCATAAAAAATACTAACTAATAATTAATCATTAGTATTATTATTTATTAAAGTCTATCCATTCATTTATTCATTTAACTTCTGTAATCATTAAATACTGAAAATTTTCTGTTTAGCTGTAGCAATACTTAAAGCAATTCTACTAAAATATATATAATAACATAACAATCAAAATTTACACAAAAATAAAAAAGTAACTAGATAAAGCAATAAAACAAATAAATTTCTCCTCACCGCACTGCTTCTTCGACACTGTTACTTGTGTGACCTGACAGGGCATCATGCAAATTGCGAATAAAATAATCTCTGTACTCTTCATCCAATGCCATAAATGTACCCCCCATAACAATAAACTCTACTTTATCCACACTGTGACCAAGTGATTTTAATTGTTCAATTCGATGTCGTGTTTGCAAGTAAGGATTATAACGAGCACGTATTGCACGCATTGAAGTTGGTTCATACCCAGTGTAGGATTGTGTTGAGTATTCAAAATCAGAATCTGGTCCTCCAGGACAGTAAACACAAATGTTTCCTGTCATACTGATATGAGGACAACGATGCGGTTTACACATAACTGCAACTACAGCAATCTATTAAACATAGAAAGTTGTTGCTTTTAAAAAAACATCTTAAAAAAATAAATAAATGACAATATAAGCACTTACTTCAAAAAAAAACTTACCCCAGAAGCTGTGCGAACAGGTTTTGCTTTGAGTTTTGGTAAAAGTAACTTTTTATGCTGTGCTGGAACAGCTGCAATTATATCAACTAGGCGAGGCTGAGTAGATAAACCATATTTAGAAGATATACTACTCTTTAACTTATTTAAATCAACAACTTTTTTACTTTCTTGTGCAGCTAGCAGTTCACTGATTATATCAGTAACAGTAAATGCCATCAGCTCGGAATTAGAAAAACTGGAATACTCCTTGTTTTTTTGTTTCATTTTTTTGTTTGTTGGTTGTTACTTTATTTTTTGTTTGTTATTACTTTAAGAAAAAAAAAAAATTAACATAAATTAACAATAGTAGTATTAATTAAAATACCATTAAAAATATTAAATTATTAACCTTATCAAAAGAATCTCAACACATTTTTTTTAATTTAAAAATTTCACTCAACTGCTAGCTTTAATAAGATTAAAAAAAGATTTTAATTAATTAAGAGGTTCAAGATTCAAATCCCGCTATGCCTCCAGAAGAACAGTGCTCAACCTGTTTCTCCACACACCAGCATTTAACAAGGTTTTTATCACAAATCTTGTTAAACAAGGTTTTATTCACGAGCCTTATAAACAAGGTTCGTTTTTTAAAATAAAAAATAGAATGAATCCTTCTTGACTTTAATGGTCGAATTCTGAAGCTTTAGGGAAAAAAATTTCATGAAAAAAAAAAAAATCTAAACTCAGTCGGTTACCAGTTTAAAGACAATTTAGCGCAAACAAACTATTTAAATTATATTTAATTAAAAATTTTAACTTATTTCTATTTAATCAAAAATCCTGTCTTCTTATCTTTGTCTGAAAGTTGGGATAGTCTAACCTTTTTACCTGAGAGTCATATGCAGGCTTTGGTTTTATTAAATTAAAAAGTGCTTCAAAAAATGTTCTGCATAACTCTTTAACTAAGAAAATTTTTTAATCAACACTGGTTCAAAATAACCCCGAAGCTTTTTCAATAACTTTTTATAATTATTTGCAGATCTCTCATAAATCAATTAAATGAAGAATTTTCAAAAATTTCATAAAGTGCTCATAACATTGAAACTAAAGTCAGCATTGAAACAAAACTGAAGTTGAAGTTACAATTAAAACATTTCAAAGTTTAGTAATGCTGAAGCCTAATTTAGAAATAAAACATTTGATAACCAATAAAAAACAAAATTTAGATCATTTGGCTTAGATCCAAATACAACATAACATAACAAGTAAATATACTAATAGATAATAAACTCAAAATAATAATAACATTGTTTCAAAAGTTTTTGTAATAAAGCTTAATTTGAATTGCTCAGCAACTTGTGAAACAAATATTGAACAAAAAGATTTAAAGGAATGCTAGAGAAAAAAAATTTAATCATTGCATTTTATAATTTGCATTTATTACAAGCATACAAATGTATATAAAAAACACAACATTATAGAGAATGTAGTGCTTATAACATGAATAAAGAACACATAGCATGAAATGTTTAAAACAATATAACATTAGAACAATGAAATTTACAATGTTATATTAAAACTCAAGTGCATAATTATACATTACTAGTGTAGCATAAATATACATTATTATGTATAGTGTAGCATAATTATACATTTCTTGTATATATTGTAGCATAATTATGCAATAATATACATAATATAGCATAATTATAGTAGTACATACAATTGTACATTGCTATAGTAGCATAATTAGTGTTGATATTACATATACTAAACCCATTATGAAAAATGTCTACTGTACTGAAATAATATATACCATATTACAATAATTTATACCAGGATTACAAAATTAAATATAACATCAAAAAATATATGTTTTAAAAATAAGATAATTTCATACAAAAAAAATTTTTCTACTTTTTTTTTTCATTTAACAAAATCAATAAATATGATTATAAATAAGTTCTTTTAGAAATCATGATAATCAACACCAAACACAAGGCACAAATATTCTAGTAACATCATGACCTAGTATAACTACATTGTTTCATACTTTACTTTGTACATCTTGACCAGATTCTGTATAAAAAGCATTCAGATTGTCAATGTTTTGTGCCATTAGATTTAGTGCAATGGCCATATCTTTCAAAACTTCTTCTTCGCTACAGTCTTCACCAAGAGCTTTAATAAAATCTTTTCTATATGGAACTGCTTTCATTGCCAACTATTTAAAATAAAAAAATACTCAGATAAATAAAAGATATTTAGCACTACAACTCAGATAAATAAAAGATATTTAGCACTACAACTCAGATAAATAAAAGATATTTAGCACTACAACTCAGATAAATAAAAGATATTTAGCACTACAACTCAGATAAATAAAAGATATTTAGCACTACAACTCAGATAAATAAAAGATATTTAGCACTACAACTCAGATAAATAAAAGATATTTAGCACTACAACTCAGATAAATAAAAGATATTTAGCACTACAACTCAGATAAATAAAAGATATTTAGCACTACAACTCAGATAAATAAAAGATATTTAGCACTACAACTCAGATAAATAAAAGATATTTAGCACTACAACTCAGATAAATAAAAGATATTTAGCACTACAACTCAGATAAATAAAAGATATTTAGCACTACAACTCAGATAAATAAAAGATATTTAGCACTACAACTCAGATAAATAAAAGATATTTAGCACTACAACTCAGATAAATAAAAGATATTTAGCACTACAACTCAGATAAATAAAAGATATTTAGCACTACAACTCAGATAAATAAAAGATATTTAGCACTACAACTCAGATAAATAAAAGATATTTAGCACTACAACTCAGATAAATAAAAGATATTTAGCACTACAACTCAGATAAATAAAAGATATTTAGCACTACAACTCAGATAAATAAAAGATATTTAGCACTACAACTCAGATAAATAAAAGATATTTAGCACTACAACTCAGATAAATAAAAGATATTTAGCACTACAACTCAGATAAATAAAAGATATTTAGCACTACAACTCAGATAAATAAAAGATATTTAGCACTACAACTCAGATAAATAAAAGATCCTCTGCCAATGCAAAAAATTACTTATTTGACTACTTCAATAAAACTGCTGTTATTCAAAGGGATGTTTTTAAAAAACTTAAATAAAAAAAAAATAAAATAGAATTTAAACACTTTGATTACATAACATGCTATTTAAATATTGTTATTGATGTTGACTATCGAAAAATATAAAAAATGATCTATAGAACCAGTATTAACTAGTCACAGTTCATCACTGTATGTGTGTATATATACATATATACAAACTGAGGGTAGATTAAAGGCTCCATCCTCCCTAAAATTGAAATCTTCCTGAAAAGTTTCTGGATCCCTTGCTGACGCATACATATGTAAGATGGTGTTACAACAGGTATTACAACTAGGATTGGTATCAAAAACCCACCCAATAAAACCCACCTAAAAAAAAACCACTAAAACCAAAGCAACCTTTGTTTTTTTGAGATTTTTTATAATTTTATGAACTATTATAACCAATATTATAACCAATATATATATTATAGTAATATTTCTGAAAAATATTATAGTAGCAAGCTATATAGAAAATTTTTTAAAATATTTTTGGGAATTAAATTAAATAATTCATTCAATAAAATTTTTAGAATACACTTTGATAAGAAAAGTTATATTTTGACATATTTTTTTACAAAACCAACTATTTTTGATACTATTTATATTTGCACAAGCTTTTTTGTCTTTTCACTTCCAAATATCTTTCTAACCTTTGACCAGATAAAACTAAAGATAATATTCTTCTTATTGATCCTGAGCAGGGCATGTTTGAAGTTTAGAAATAAATATGCAGGGCATGTTTGAAGATTAGAAATAAATTTGCAAAATTCTTCAGGAAATTTTTCTGGATTGATATCTTGTTCCTCTGGTTAATAATTGACCACCAATCATTGTACAATATTGTTGATATAATTTGATTGCTTAACATCCTATTAAAAAACACATCATAATCTTTTAGTTAAAGCAAAATTAGCAAAAGGTAAAAAATCAAGATAATGAAAAACAGAGCCGTCCTTAGGGTGGCACGAGTGGAGCTGCCGCTCCAGGCCTCGCGCGTAGGAAGGCCTTGCGGAGCGAGGTCTTTCTAAACGCAAGCAGCTAAAACTTTTCCTTATTTTAACAAGAGTAGCATCCTCGCCCAGCAAGGCTTTACACTCGTTTAAAAATAAGTAAAAGGCCTTACTGTGTTAAAAAAAAAGGAAAAGTCTTGGTTAAATGAAAATAATTTAATAATAATATACGTGCAAAAAATATCTATATATACTCCAAAAATATCTAAAAATATCTAAATATAGCCGCACAATAAGTTCAATTATTTATTAATGGAAAAACATATCAACAAGATTCTCCTTTGTATGAGATATAGCGAACAAAATAATGCAAAACATCGTTTGAAGCTAATGTAACTCTGTATTGCAATGAGATCGCAAATGGAGGACTCATTTGTTTAATGACTATAAAATACTTTTTTAAAGAATGAAAAAGTTGAAAAAAAAATTAATAGATTAGGAAAATTTTTCATTTTGTTTTTCAAAAATAAAAAAGAAGAAAAAACAGAATATCTAAAATTAAGGAAAAAAAGCGAATTATTTGAAAGAATATAAAACAAAATTTAAAAGTAACTTTGAGAAAGCTCTTTTTTTTTTTATACTTTGATAGTTATTCATTTTATATTACGAATTATTTTTAGATTTTAGTTTATGCTGTTAAGTAACGATTTGTTTTTTCTTTAGTTTTTTAGTATATGTTGTACATATAGTTTTGCCTAATATTTTAAGTTAATATTTTATTCTAACATTTTAGTTTTATAAAGTGTTTTTTTTATGGATGGCAGTAATTTGCAAATTAATATTTTAGTTCATTTTAAGCGAACTCATTTTATAATAGGGGAACCTGTTGTACCTTTAACCACTTTTTGCTTTAAGGCATTTTTTGCGTAGTCTATTGAGTAAACTTAAACCATTCAAACTATATAATATTCTCTCATATTTTGCCCAAAAATTATACTTAGGACTTTTTTTTCATTCATTCAAGAAGTCCCTTTTTTCCACGTTTTAAAAAAAGAAGTCTATTGGTCAAAGGTACAACACATACGTTGTACCTTTGACCAATACGCGTTGTTACTTTGACCAAAACATTATTATTAAAAAATCATACAATGTTTGAACCTCTTTAATATTTTAGATTGTTATATGTTATTTAGCAAGCTCTGGCCTACCTTATATCAATAAAAAAACAAATTTTATTATTTTGTAATCAATCCTAATTGTCTAAAAAAATTAGAAAGACTTGTGTATCGAAGTTACGATACGCAGTCAGTATTACTAATAGTATTACTAATTTTTTAAAATAAAATCAGTTATTATAACTATTTAGATAAAGTCACACAATTTCTTTAGTTAGATGCTTTAGTTAGATAGGTCAAAGGTACAAAGTCCTAGTCTAGTCATAGGTACACGAGATTACAACAATTACTGTCTTAATCCCTATTTACGGTCAGACATAACCATCCAAACTTTTCCATAAGAAAAAAATGATGTTGGGTAATGTTTATAATGTCGTAAATGAATCAAACAATATTTTATCACAGTTTTAAAATCAGAATAAGATTAACACAAATGTTTTACTTTTTTAGAGCCAAAAGTTATAACTACTTGTGGATCAATACCATCTATCCCAAGTATAATGTTTTACAGTAAGAAGAGTCGTAACGGACTATTATTTCAAACAACACTTCACGTTTTTTTAAAATAATAGTAGTAAGCCAACAGAGTAGAGTGACCAAAGATACAACGTGGTCAAAGGTACCACAGGTTTCCCTATAGTTTGTACTCTCGAGTCCTTAATACAAGGAGAGGCAAATATTCTACCTAGGGGCAAATATTCAAAACAAATTAACAAAGCTGCTGTCTGAAAAAGTAAAACCAAAGAATGTCACGGATATAAAAGCAGCTAAATATTTTTCAGTAATGCTAGACTGCACACCGGATCTAAATTACAAGGAGCAGTTATCCTTGATCATACGATTTCTAAATATTGATATGAATGCAAGTTCTCTTGAGTGGGAAAATAAACGTGTAAGCAGCGTGAAGAACATTACTTTTGATTCTTAGACGTTAAGTTAACAACAGAAAGAATCTAACTGATATTCTTCTACAAGAGTTAGATGAAATTGGATAGCAAATCAGGACCTGCAGGGAACAAGGGCATGGCAACGTTTCCAATATATAAAGTATCAACTTTGGAGTACAGGCACGGATTTTAGAAATAAATCTCAAGGCATTTTACATGCTCTGCGCTAGCCATAGCCTCAACGTTGTGATGCTGCAAATTGTTCACCTAAATGTATTATGTTTTTTTTCTTTGTCAACAATGCGATGGGAAATTTTTATGAAACATGTACCAAATTTAACTGTAAAAAGGTCCTGTGACACTCCCTGGGAAAGTAAACTGGGAAAGCATAAAAGCGCTTTGATATCAAGTTGAGGAAGTTTATACTGCCTTAGTTGAATTAGTTGAGTTCACTGAGGATCCAAAATCCAATAGTGAAACACAATCAGTTATTAATGAAATAAGTAGTTATGAGTTCTTACTAGCCCTATGTATTAGGTATGATGTACTTTTTGCAGTAAACAGTGTTAGCCAAAGTTTACAGGCTTAAAAAATGCACCTTGGAGTTGCGTCGCAGTTATTTCAAGGGCTAGATCAGTTTTTTCCAAAATTTGGAGCTGAAGGTTTTGTGGCGGCAACGTTGGTAGCAAGAGAACTTAGTGAAACTCTGGGTGTAAAGCTAAATTTCAAAGAAGTCAGGCAGAGAAAGAAAAGAAGAATGTTTGAGTACGAGGAAGAAGATGATCTTACAGTAGAATCTGCCGATTAAACGTTTAAAGTGGAGTATTTTTTTGTTATTGCAGATACTGCAGCACAGTCATTGAAAAAAAGGCTTGAACAAATAACTACTTACGATACTATGTTTGGATTTTTGTATCATGTCAAAGAACTAAAAGCAGCAAAAGGTTAAAAAATTGTTTCAAAAGTGTAAAGACCTAGAATTGTTCCTAAGTTTTGAAGAAGAAAAGGATGTTTGTGGCAATGACCTTTTTTCTGAACCTAAGGTTCTTTGAGAACTTCTACCGGCTGAAGTGGAAACAGCTGCAGGAATTTTGAGATTTATTCATCAGATTAAAACCCATTTCCCAATGCATTTATAGCGTATAGAATTTTATTGACTATACCTGTAACGGAGGCAAGCGCAGAAAGGAGTTTTTCACGCTTTAAACTTATCAAGACATATTTAAGGTTGTCCATGGGTCAAGAAAGGCTATCATCCTTAGCAATGTTATCAATTAAATCTGACACAACAGCCAAAATCAATTTTGATGACATTATTGACAACTTTGCTGGACTGTTTATTTCTTGTCGGACAAAAATTATTATTTATTTCACATTATTAGGCCTGTAAAAATTTTAAGAACAAACTTTATTGTTATTATTCTAGGTTATTTTATAAAGCACTCAGTCCTTTTAATAAAGCTACACGAAAATAACAACTCAAAGCTATACCAATCTGAAATTTATGTTTTGCACTTACACAACCCCTTTTTAGACAAAAAGAGAAAAAAATTTTCTTTGTCAAAGCACTTAAAATGACAAGACTTGTTCTTTCAAGAAAGCCTTGCAAAAATATATTGCTCCAGGCCTCCCAACTTCTAAGGACAGCTCTGATGAAAAGCCATCCTTCAGCCTCATCTTCATTTTCAATAGTAAGGTTTTTACTTATAAAAAAAAAAAAAAAAAATTCCAATTAGCATATATCTGTGAAAAACATTTTTTTTGATTTTTAATTAAAAACTTATTTTTACCAAAAAAGTGAGGATTGGTCATGTATGCAAGATAATATATAGGCGTTATATTATACGAAAATATTCCAGGAATTAAAAACCCAAAAACTCATTTAAAAAAGAACCAGTGGATACTGCTTTAAAAGTCAAAATTCAAACCAAAAATAGAACATGGGATTCAAATAAATCAATAGGAAACATAAACCAATTAAAATTCTACATAACCATTTAAATATTGAATGCAACAGTGGTATAGTGGTAGAGCGTTCGCCTCATAAGCAAGGAGTTCTGAATTCAATCCCCACCATGTCCCTGGTAGTACCTTGCTTAACTTGATTCTCCACACAGCAGCCTGGTTCGTCAAGGTTTGTGTTTCAGAGTTATATAGTTATAAAGAGAGGGTTGTGACCACACAACAGAAAGAAAAAAATAAAGAAAACATTAACTCATTTAAAAGGGAAATTCCTAGTAAGTGTAGATTAAATCCAAAGGCATACATGAGAAAAAAACAGCTAAAATTGAAACTAGAGCTATCAAAAACTGTAGAGAAAAAATTAATAGTCACCAATCAAATGGCCATTGCTAAAGAATCAAATATTTCCATTCTGTATATGAAGATAAAGATATAAACATAAATATTATTAACAATCTATTAGACATGCAAACAACATTTACTAATAACTAATAAATGTTGAACCTGTTGAGTTAACATAAAATCAACAATTGTTTAAAAAAGAAAGAAAGTTGAAATCGACAAACTACAGACCCATATCTCTAATATCAATGCCAAAATAACAGAAAGAATAATTACTGATAGTATAAAAAAGCATTTAACAACAGAAAAGCTATTAGCAAAAGTACAGCATGGTTTTATAAAAGGTAAGAGTTACACTACAAATTTACTTCCTTGACAAATATAACATGGTTCTTTGCTTGGGTCACTCATTTAATTAATATTTATATACACTTTACCAAGAAGAATAACTAATAAATGTTGTTTGTACGTCAGTGACAAAAAAAAAATAATCTCACCTAATTCTTCCAAGGTTGAATTGAAACTATTTCAAAATGACATAAATAACTTGATGAATGATTAGGTGAATAAAAACTAATTTTGAAAAATATAAACTAAAATGTTTTGCTCTAAGTAATTAAAGATATTCTTATTTCATAAAAAAATAACGGTGACCTAAAAGAAATAAAAAAAACCTACTCTCAAATAGAATTAGGTATTTACATATCCAATTATTTAATATAGGAAAGACAAGTAAATAATGATACCAAAAAAAAAGAAAGAAATATTAAGCTTGTAACATTAAATAACACTTAACAGAAGTTCAGAAGTGTTATTGTTAATTAGGTGTTAATACAACAAGTACCATGTACAAAAACTTTGAATCTATGAATATGAATAAAGTTTAAATACAAATACATTTGACTAATACAGCTTCCAGCGTTAGAGGTTACAAACATCATGTTACATCTGAATTCATTAAATTTGTTAAAGTAGCTTCACTTCTTTACAATTACAATTCTTTTTGGATGGAATAATTCACCAGAGTAGTAGTAACTTACAAGGGTAGCGGAGTCTAGATTAGTCAATCAACTTCAAATCTAACCTTAAACTGATTTAAAAATTATATTAAACAAGAAAAATAAATTACTCTTAAATTTGTAGACAATCATTGTATTGGGTGTCATAAATATTGCCTAGTGCTTTATCTTATTTAAGCATTTTAGTTATTATTATATATTACAGTAATAGTAAATGTGGTTGAATAGTAGTTAAAATTAACTATTTATGGGTTGCTAAGATATCTGGAACTTAATAACCAACATAAAATATAAGTTGTGTGTGCGGTCATATCAACATACAATTTTCAACATATCTATAGCAGATATATTGTTTTTAACTGAATGTAGTCTAGGTTACAACTATATTAAGAATGTCTTTAAAGCTTGCAACAGTTAATTTTGCATAGTTATGAATAACTTTATTTTACTTAGTTACCAAGGACAAAAAAAACTTAATTAAATAACTAATAATGTAATTATTAATTTCAACCGCAATCTATAATAATGCCTCTGATATTCTTCAACTTTAATTTTCAGCTGAAAATTTAAAAACCTTTTGAAAAAAGTTAAAAAAAACAATTGTAAAACATGTCCACACACACAATTACAATTTAACCTTATACTAATGTAAGCTTTTATAGTATCAAAAAGCTAAACAATTGAAAAAAATAATAATACCATTAATTTTAAAATTTTAAAAATATTAACAGGTATCAGGGATGTGGAGTCCCAAAAGGACTCTGGATTTAAATCTCTATTTTTTTCTGGTCTCTGATGTCCAGTTTTAAAAATGTTGAGTGATCTGGAATAAGAAAAAAATTTATCACATTTAATAACTTGAAACTTATTGTTTTTAAGCCTGGTGTCCTGGAGTCCTTGCAGCCATTATACATAAGGACTCCGGGTTCATATGCTGATTGTTCTTTTTACCTAAAACTCTTCTTTTTTTTTTCAAAAGTAGTCCATAAGCTTGTTTACATTTTTGTAGCTCCTGAATATCTAAAATGATGAAGAAAAAATCTTTTGTGATTTTTAAATCTGAAATCCTTTTTAAGACTCTGGATCCCTGACAGATATTTTTTTAATTTTTTTTATTTTGTTTTATTTCTAATATTTTATATAAAAATAACCAATCATATAAATTGATTGTAAAAACATTAAACTACCTTTAAAACTTACATTAAAAAAATATTTTAAAAATAGATTTTAAAACTCACATTAAAAATAGATTGAACCATCCATCCATGGTATGCCTTCAATGAACTTTCATATGCTTTTTTTGCACAAACAACCAAGTCCTGTTCACCTGTTAAAACCTCTTGTAAAAACACACGAATGAAAGATAATGCTCTGCAAAATATTATAAACAAAAATATAAATTTTTATTTTAAAAAATTTCTGAAAAGCAAAATATTTAGATTAAACCTTTTTAACCACAATAGAGCATCTGTGGCAGAGTTCTTTGCTTTTGTTGAGTTTGCTTCTATCTCACTCTTTACAATATCTTGAAGAGTTTCAAATTGTTTTGGCGATAGTTCATACTTATTGGTCAACTTCTATAATAAAATAAATTTTTTATTTAAATGAACCATTTTCTTTGGTTTTGTGTTTGAGTTTTATCATCTGTGATTTTGTAAAGTTTAGTTGATTATATTATAAAATCAGTGCTGGATTACCCAATAGGTCTAACTAGTCCATGATCTGGGGCCCCTAATAATTAGGGGCTTCCAAAAAGGAGATATTTTAAAATTTCAAATTCCAATTTTTTAATTCGATTAGTTTCTCAATATTTTATTTTATTGTGAATCAAAAATGTGATTTTTATTATTCTACTTCATAATTTAAAAATACTTGAAATATTTCTGTACACGTTAATTCTGCAGCTAAAAGGCTTGAAATAAGTCTATTTTAAAAGCAATTATTGCATTTAAAAATACTTGAAATATTTCTGTACACGTTAATTCTGCAGCTAAAAGGCTTGAAATAAGTCTATTTTAAAAGCAATTATTGCATTTAAAAATACTTGAAATATTTCTGTACACGTTAATTCTGCAGCTAAAAGGCTTGAAATAAGTCTATTTTAAAAGCAATTATTGCATTTAAAAATACTTGAAATATTTCTGTACACGTTAATTCTGCAGCTAAAAGGCTTGAAATAAGTCTATTTTAAAAGCAATTATTGCATTTAAAAATACTTGAAATATTTCTGTACACGTTAATTCTGCAGCTAAAAGGCTTGAAATAAGTCTATTTTAAAAGCAATTATTGCATTTAAAAATACTTGAAATATTTCTGTACACGTTAATTCTGCAGCTAAAAGGCTTGAAATAAGTCTATTTTAAAAGCAATTATTGCATTTAAAAATACTTGAAATATTTCTGTACACGTTAATTCTGCAGCTAAAAGGCTTGAAATAAGTCTATTTTAAAAGCAATTTGTGTTCTTGCCTGTCTTATGAGCATGTTTATAAAAAGCAAACAGTAGTTATTTTAAAAATTTTTTGCTTGATTTTTTTTCTTTACTTTTTATTATATGTTTTTATTGCTATAAATTTGTTTATAGATTATTATTTATTTTATTATTTTTATTATTTATTTTATTGATTATTATTTATTTTATTATTTTTATTATTTATTTTATTGATTATTATTCATTTTATTATTTTTATCATTTATTTTATTATTATTGTTACGATTTAAATTGTGTTATTTATTTTTAGTTCAAATTTTTAACCTGCGCGCAAAAAATAGATTGCAACAGTTTTGTTTTGAATGGACAAGAAAATTTGTGGCTTCGTAATTAAAATTGTAATTGTAACAAATAATTTCTTGTTTTTTAACAAAGAACAAAAAAGCTATTTTACATTAATTTAAAGCTAATTTTACAATTACAAAAAAGTGAGAGCGACAAATTGAAAAAATATTTTTTTTTACTATTCTTAACTAAATTTATACTCATCAGTAAATATTAAGGTTCATAGAATAATCTCAAAGCATTCAAAAATTACAACCATATAAATGTGAAACCTCCTCAATTTGAGTAGGTTTAAATTTTTATATGGTCTTTTTTTTTGAACGAAAAGAGATTGTTCTATGAAATTAAAAATTTATTGATGTATATAAATTTAGTTTTGATGTATATAAATTTAGAATAGTAAGAAAAATATTTTATCAATTAATTGCTCTTGAACTTGGGGTAGGTAGAGGGATGAATATTTCAAATGAACATTTTTCAGCATTCTGTTTATATGCATCAATTCAACTATTATCTATCTCCTACAAACTTTAATAACAAGTTTAAAATAAATATAAATTAAAACTACTATCTTGAACAAATGTAAGTAACAAATAAAAAGTGTCTCAAAAACTTAATAAAATACATGAAATATAGCACTGCATTTAGAGGTTCAAAAATACCTAATAAATGGGATTCAAAGGTATGGCAAAAATTCCTAATAAAATGGGATTTAAAGGTCAATTAAGTTTATTTAACTTTCTAACAAAAAAATAATTTTTTTTTTTAGGTACAAACATTTCTTAAAACTTAAGTAACTTAAGTACCTAAGTTACTAGTCAGAAGTTATTTTATTGTCTTTTTTTTTTCTTCTTTATTTGATTTGCTTATTAGCACTTTTTATGCAAGTATTTTTATACAAACTAATAAGTTTATTAGTGTTTTTAATATTTACTATACTTTGTAGAAAAACCTTTATATAGGGACTCTATCAAAGGATTTTGTTGATGTACTGTCACCTTAATTTTCTTTGATCCCTGTCTGTTTAATACTTTATTTAATAAAAATCATTGAAAAAAAAAAGCTTAATTTTATAAATTAAAAAAAAATAAAATATTATATTTCATATACAAAAACAGTGCTTTGTAACAAGTTTATACTGTCTTTTTTGTTTTACAGACATTTTTCTTTCTTTCTGCTGTATATTAACTTTTATTAAATAAACAGCAAAATAATCGTAATCAATAAACACATATAATTTAGGGTTTTTTTTGTTGTTGGGCTCCAATCATCACAATCTTTTATAAAGCATCATTATATGACATTAGCATAAACATATGTCTTGAAGTTTGCTCCAACAAAAAGCTAGATTCATGCCTATTATCCATCCTATTATAAGCCTGTCTCTATTATCCAGCAAACAAATCAAAACTGTCAGTGATGAAATTATAACTTAGTGTATGTTGATGTTTAATGAAATTATTATTTAGTGTATGTTTCATCAATTTCTAAGTATTTTAAAATGTATATATTTATAGCAGTGTTGGTAAATTTTCAGGTCTAATCACAAATAGACAAACTGATTATTTCGACAGCAGTGATTTTAGTGTTCTTTAAAATGAATCATAACCTCAGAATGATACCTGTTCAAATAATCTTGAGCAACATAAAATTAGATCCGGTTACTTGTGGAAGTGAATCTACTATCAAGAAGGACAGTCATTCAGCTGATCCGGGAAAGAGGGGTGTTTTGAATAAAGATGACATTGATTTTTGGACTGAGTGAAATCATTCTAAACCATTTCAAGAGTCCTTGTAGATTTTACAATACAGAATTCAAAACGCATTATAGTTAAGTAAGAACATTTTTAGGGAAAAAAGCAAATTTTATTTTGCAAAATCGTTTTTGAAGAGGTTTTTGTAAGAATGGATCATTTATTCCCCAAAAACTGGTTGCATGTCTTTGCAAACATTTTGTGTTTAAAGAAAAGTCAAACAAACTCACTAGCTATGGATTTAATAATCAGAAGAATATTTTTTGATTACATCATTATTAAAATAGATCTCTTCACTGAGAATGCATACTGATATATATTCAGAGTAAAAAAAGTTTTCAGAAACCTGAAAATAATCTGAGAAAAATGACTGACTAAAATCTCAGATTATGAGATTTTAGTCATTCTCTATTTTAGTGTTATAACTCAACATTTTAACTTTCATTCAAGCTCACATCGACCAACTTAGTAAAGTAATATTATAGTTCACATTGACCAACTTAGCATAATTGTTCAATACATTTCACAGACGGAATGCCAGTTGAATGATTTTTAACATTTTTAATTATGAAAAGTCATGTTTGAGTAGACATTGCAGAACAGGTTTTAAAACGTTTAGACAAGACTTATCACTAAGCTTTTAAAACTTGTAGAGGTCAGCCTTATGACAATGCTGCAAATATGTCCAGAGTAAATACCGAGGGATGCAAATGATAATGTCAAATCTCAATAAGCATGCATATATACATATCTGATATATTTAAATATCTGTGATATCTGATATATTTAAATTTCATATATATTTTTAAATATATAGAAACATAAGGGTTGCAACCACAAAAGTAGCCTCCTTAACTGTAGTGGCCTTTAGGTGAATAATAAAACAAATACATATATAATAAATAAAAGAAAAAAAAATTAAGTAAAGCAATACCGTTACATTGCCCCGAATATCAGATTTGACTGGAGCAAAAGCAGTAGATCCAAGAATGTCTATTGGAGAAACAAGAAAATTTTAATCAAGCAAAAAATAAAAGCACACATTTACACACAGGAAAAAAAAACATACCAAAAAATGGTATTATTTCACTGCAAGCATCTAAAAATGGTTTTGTCTCTATCTTGCCATCATCTCGCACAGTTTGAAACTGGTGTTTAACATTTCCAAAAAAAGATGGCATTGTAAAAGTAATTATTAGACTAAAACACATATAAAACATATATTTTAAATATATATTACATATATTTTAGAATATACATTGGGACATCACACTGAAATAGCTTGCTACCATGCGCTTTAGTACATGCATTAACTATTTTTTAGCCTACTGCTACATGGACTGAGGGTTTAGGATGGCGAAGCAATTTTTTTTCTTTCAATATTTTTTTTTCTTTTTCTAAAAAAGCGGTATGCTATAAAGATAAATAAAAGTAGTAAGCATATGCTGATCTGTATATGCTATAGTGTGTGTATATATATATATATATATATATATATATATATATATATATATATATATATATATATATATATATATATATATATATATATATATATTAAATATAATGAATAAAAATTAATACTTTTTTTTGATAATTATAAATAATTTCAATTAGTTTACAGTTATTAAAAGTTTTTGTTAAATAAACTATTTATGTTAGTATTTAAAACTTAAATTTCACAATGTAATCTTTGAATACATTACAACATAATCCAAAATAGTAAAATATTTGGTAACTAAATTAAATGTTGAAGATACTATGTTGGAAAGAAACATTGTTAAATGAAGGAGATGTTATGATAAAAAGATATGTTAAATAATGAATATAACATGTTGGAAAGAGATGTTGAAGCCAAAGTTACGTAGGTGAAATATGTTAAATGAAAATAAAGCTGTTATTTTTTAGATAAAATACATAGACATCACTCAAGTGATACTGAATAAGATTTTATTTTACAGGAGATAAATAAGATGTTTCTTAAATAAATTGTTACTTTGAAAGAAAATGTTGTTAAAAGAAGGTATTATTTTAGAAGAAGTTGTTGTTAACTGAAATAAATTTTTTTTTTTCAAATACTTTTTAATACTTTCTATTATTTGTACATTTTCTTCATACTTTTCATGAAACTTTTATATATTCTTTGCTTTTTGGACAATATGAGGTTGTTTTTCTTTGTTAGTTTGATTGATGTTTTAATGTGATCTTAATTCAAAACTTGTGTTTTGAATTAAGTAAAATCATATAAATCACAAAAAAAGTGTTTTATTTTATTAACTTTTGTGATTTCGAAGATAATCAGTAAGCGATTATTTTTATATAAAAGATTTTATGTTTTTGTTTTTTTTAATATTTATTTATTTTCTTCATAGTTGTTTTTTTCAAACAACTAAAACTTTATTTAATAACAATAAATATTAATTATAACATTGCTTATTACAACTTTTAACTATATCTAGTAATACAATTTATAATAATAGTGTTATAATACATAATAATATACATAAACATAAATACATTATTATATATCATTATGTGTAATTATAGTGACGAGACTATTATAGTTAAATTATACTAATGACAACATAATACCTATAACAATATATAACATAAATATAATAATAATATATAACAACATAAAGAAGTTTTTAAACAATATTATTATTCATAACTAAAGTAACATAACTATAATTAATATAAATGATACAATTTAAAATAAAATGTGTAGTAATAATGTATAATAGCATTATAATTATAACATTAACTATAATAAATACTAATACTAAATTATAAAAATAACAGTAATAACAAATATTAAAAAGAATTTTAAAAAATTCCCAAATCACTGTTAAGAGACCTGGAAAAAAAAAAAAAAACTACTTCAAAATCTAAAAGTTTTATAAAATTTTAAATATTAAAAGAAATTTCCATTTTTACAGTAATTTAATTCCATTTTAACTTTAGTTACTTTAGTATTTTTATGTAATATAAATTTTGTATTATATTTTTTGGACTTCTCATGCATAACTCAATAAACTATTGGATAGACTGATATTCAACACATTTTGAAGGAGCTGCTGTATACTTCTTTTGGCAAAATGTCATTAGGCGCTTTAATGCTTGTATATATTTTCGTTGAGTTTCATCATTAAGCACATGTGCAACAAGAGCAGTTGATATTTTTTCTCTACCAGTTCGAGCGTGAATACCAGGGTTGGTGACACCAATAGGCCATGGTGCATTTCCAATTGCCATTTGTAAGTACAAGTCACTAGCTTTAACATATTCACGATGAATTAAATTTTGTACAATACCAGTTAAAGCATTCAATATATCAGCTGTCAAACTTTGAGATCTTAACTTACGAAAAAGAGGCTTTAAGTATGCCATTGTTTGTTCATATTGAGCACTGCTAAGTTTTCCAGAAATAGATATCTTTTCATGAAGTTCACGTTTATTTAAATCCACACCCCACAAGTAAGACAAATGTTTTAAAAATTCAAGAACCATTTGGGCGCTTTGCTGCATATTTCCTTTCTCAATATTCTGTGAAAGTTCAATTAACTCTTCTATAGAAAGAGCATCGTGAGAAACCTTCACATCGTGAGCTTTATTGGTGCTATCGCTACTCCCTTCTGTGTTTAACTGAGCAATATAACTTTGATCTACTCTATCTAATGCGGCTTTAAAATCATTTCGCAAACCTTATTAAAACAAAATTATATAAAATAACAGGTACCATGGTGTATAAATAATATTGCAAACATTAAAAAAGTAGAAATCAAAAGTATGTTATATATTTATTAAATATTTAATAACTATTATTCATTAAATATCTAAAATACAATATAAATAATATATATCAACAACAATATATACATACATGTATACATACATACATACATACATACATACATACATACATACATACATACATACATAAATATATATATATATATATATATATATATATATATATATATATATATATATATATATATATATATATATATACATATTAACAAAAAAATACACAAACTACTATTATTGTAAACAATTTCATTTTAAAAATTCTTTAAACATTTATATGAAGTTTATTACTTTATGAGAATAAAATTTAAAAAATGAGGATTACTTATGCAAACAAGTAAATAAGAATAAAATAAAAAGTATGTAATAAACCTTTGTGCAATAAATTGAAATCATCTTATAACAATCATTTCACTTTACCTTTGTCTTCATCATTGCTTATCATCTCAATCAGTCGCAAACGTTGGCAAGTATCTTCATGGGATTCTCCAAACAACTTGATTGGTTCTTTTAGATCTCGTAAACGTCGACATAGTTCTGATTTTTCTATATTTTTGTATTTTAGATCAAGCTTTTTTATTTTTGTTGGAGGAGTTCTATAAAAAGAATAAACTTTTGAAAAATTCCGAGTTTGCAGATAGCACTATTTTTTACAACTTATGATCAGTTATAAAAAAAAAATTTTTTAGCTTACTTGTTAACTTCACCTCCTGAGTCAGAAGGCTCTACATTTTTTAAAAGCCCTTTCTTTTCTAGAGCCAAGTTTTTCTGTTTACGATATTCCTCTGCTTGAACCTTGGATAAATCCCCTCTTTTAAAATATGTTTTTTGACCTATAATTGGAACTGAGTCTAGTTGCTTTCGTTTTCGATCAAGCTCAGCCAACAAAGACTCCATTTATTTAGGACAAAAAAAATATATTTATTTCTAAAAAAAAATGCAAGTGTTTGATGAAAACATTATTTACGTTTTGTAAAAACCATTCTTTTTTGAAAAAAAAGTTCAACTTGTCTTAGACGAGCAATGCTTCCATATTATAATCTCAAAACTTTTTTAAACCTACTTTTAAGACAACTTTTGCAACATATTGTTGGGTTACAACACAACAACAAAATGTTGTTGGGTTACAACACAGCAACAGCATGCTGTTGGGTTCTTCATAGCAACAACATGTTGTTGGTTTACAACACAGTAACAACATGTTGTTGGGCTACAACATAAAAACAAATGTTGTTGGGTTACAACACAGCAAGAACCTGTTGTTGGATACTAATAAACAAAGATCATTATCATAGAAAAACTTTCAAAATGAAGAATGGTTTTATTAAATACAAATCTTTTTATAAAGTACTTGCAAGTTATATTTTATGAAATACTCACAAAATATGCTTATTTGATTTTAAAAATTTTCCCAAAAAATAAATTAGAATAAATTAGAGATGCAATAATTTTATTGTCATTAAAATTTATTATTTTATAACTTTTATATTAAAATAAACCAATAATATCTATAAAACAATATAACATAAATTCATATTTAAAGCTAAAAAATACATTTACATTATGCTGTTATAAAATACATTTTCAATAATGTAAAGTTATATACAAATAAGAAAAATAATTGGCAACTAGAACTATAGTATATCAGATGACACTTTAGGTTTGTGCTAACGGTATATGTATACAAAAACAATGCAAAAAATTGCAGATTTAGTTCAGCACTGTACAAATATGTTTTGTTCTTAAGTAATTTTTAAATTGCTGACTAAGAATGTTCCCAAAATTTTATAATCTTATTCCAACTAGTTCCAATGATATACATATTTTAACTTTGTATATATATATATATATATATATATATATATATATATATATATATATATATATATATATATATATATATATATATATATATATATATATATATATATATATATATATATATATATATATATATATATATATATATATATATATATATATATATATATATATATATATATATATATATATATATATACATAAACCAGCTATTAAAATGTCAATTTTTTTGAAGAACATTTAAAATAAAATAGAAGAGTGGTACTTTTGTATAACATATTTTAACAATATTTTTAATAAATAATTAATTTTAAAATTTATGCTAAAATAAATACAATTTTTTTACATCTATTTTTAAATAAAAAAAAAGAAATTTTTATTAAAACTATTTTACATATTAGACTTTTTATTTACACCATGTATTACCTATTTATATTTTCACAAGATAGCTGTGAGATTACTAGAACAGTAATCTATTTGAAAATAGAACATTCTGCCATTATGAAAATAGAACATTCTGCCATTATGAAAACTAAAAAGTTAAAGTAATCTAAGTACTAATTTGTGAATGAATTCTCTTTTAAAAAAATAATGAATAGTAAACTAATAAAATGGAATCTTGTGGATTTGGAAAAGCACTTTAAATGATGGCTGTCACAACACATTTTTTATCAAGATTTAAAAGATTTTCATTATCTAGAAAAATATATTCAAAATATACACATACATATATATACATACAAGATATTCAAAATATACACATGCATTATTATACATTTAGAAACATAGAGCATAACTTTCATTGAATTTTATAATTTTTTTTATAATTAAACAACCATACTTTTTATATGGCAGATAACTTAAATCAAGTCCAAAAAATCATTAAAAACACTTTAAAGTTTTAGAACGCAAATGCTAGAAAACATATAAGTTAAATACCTTATATTTAAAGTTTGATTCAAAATTCTATTCAAAAAAATAACCCAGAGTTACACATGGAAAGAAAGATTATGTTATTTATATAAAAGTGGTCCTCCACAACAAAAAAATCATTGTTATACAACCTTTATGAACTATTCGCTTTCAAACTTAGTATTGCTGATTAATTTAACCCAATCGAACATCACATACAATCGAACATCACATACAATCGAACATCACATACAATTGAACATTACATACAATCGAACATCACATACAATCGAACATCACATACAATCGAACATCACATACAATCGAACATCGCATACAATCGAACATCGCATACAAAAATTTAATAGTAAAAAATACTATGTGATGAAAGCAATAATGAATACATGGGTTAAAGGTGCTAAAAATCCAGGTTACAATGTTACAAGGACAAAAGCAACAGCAAGAATCATTGGATAACCAAATATTGACAGATTCTTGAGTTTTATAGTTTAGCACCAAAAACAAGATAATATAATAAACGATATATTTAACTAAATTTAAAAAAATTAAATTTTAAAGAAATAAGAAAACAGCAACAACAATTTAACAATAACTGAAAGGGACTTTAAAAAAATTAAAATTAGAATTGGTTAAAACTGTTTCAGAGACCATCATTACAAACCTATTTCAAATTTTAAATTTGTTTTTAAAGAACAAGTGAACATCAATTTGCAGAAAGATTCAGCTGTCAAAAGTTGCGCACCTGATGTTCTTAAAAAATTTTGTTGTATATGATTCTTTTTGATGGGACGGCCAACAAAAAACGTTTGTTGGGTTTCATTGTCAAGTTGGATTGCATAAATGTCCCAAACAAAACGACAAAATCAGGACAAATATATAAAATTGAAATATATAAAATTGAATATATAAAATTAAAAAACAAATATATAAAATTGAAGTGAATGATTAAGAGACTATAACATAAAAACTTTAAGTTTTAACTAAACTATTCAGGATGGCTTCTAAAAAAAACAACTGAGTTATAGCAATTTTGTAATTTAATTACCCCTCCCCCATTAAAATAATGATAAATGTTTAAAATTCAGGTGTCATGTTTGTTTTTAAGTATTTTTGAATTGTTTTATTGTATTTCTTTCTCTACTTTCAGTTTTCTATTACACACATAAAAGAAAAAAGAGCTGAAACAATTTTTATTAAATGACAGATAACTGTCAAAGTAAACTTAAAACATATTTTTGGAAAAAAAAAATTTTTTTAACTTAAATGATGAAATTTTGAGGACATTTAAATTTTATTAAAATCTTCAAGTGGTGTAAAAATCAGAAAAATTTGATATCCTAAGTTGCGATTTTTTTAAAAATAATTTTACATGGAATTACCTATTATGCACACACACACACATATAAATACATACATACATACATTTGAAAAAAAAAATTATAATCTACAGATAAAATAGTTTTAGACATTCTCAAATTTATATACACTATTTAAAAGCTTATTATTAAATGTTCCATTTTTAAAACTTCACTAATGGAAGTTAATCATCACTTGTTTTTTTTCTTATTAACTAATCTCTCCCACCATCCAAATCCCCAAAAATGCCAATCATTGAATTTAGGTGCTTTTTCAAGTCTTTCCATGTAGTTTTTTTTCGTAACCTCACAACTTAAGGTTTTATAACTTGCTTCATCTGCCCAATCGATTTCTTTGAAGTTATGTTCAGTAACTATTTCTAAATTTTTACTTTCTTCAATCTCTTGAAGCTTTTTTTGACGTTGAACTTCACGCTGAATGCGTTTTTCATATGCAGAGTTACATTCTGAGGGAGAACCTGAATATGGTAAAAAATTCATCTGTCTATGAGCTGATTTTTGATACAGAGCACTTTGCATCTCTTTCAGGCGGCTGATTGCTCGTCTGAATGAAAAGATCTCATCTTGGCCTGTTAAAAAATCAAACTCATGAAGAATCATATCAGTTAAATTTAAATCATATGCCATTTCATCTAACATATCAAGTGTCATTTGACTGCCATTAACATAGTTAACATTTGATAATTCTTGAGTATCATCAGAAAATTTTGGAAGCATTTGGAAAATGTCATCAACAGAAGCTTGAGAATTGCAATAGACTTTTACATTACACTCATAAGCTGCATCTATAAAGCTTAAAAATCTTCTTGCTTCATTTTTATGAAACAAAGTCATTTTTGGAATATCATCAATAAAAACACTTTGAAATGAACTGCATATTTTAAAATAGTCAGCTGATCCTAATGGATGACAACATAATTCATTAAATGTAAATCTAGCAACATTTCCAGCGCACAAAGGTACATAAATTTTTCTACCATAGACATGCAATACAAAAGAATAAACTTTTTCTCCTTTCGGTATAAGTTCAGTAAACATTTTGTCAAATGCTAAATCAGTCAGTTCGCTTTTTGGATATAGAAATCTTTGTTCACCTGGTATCATTTTATCTCTGTAATCACAAACAGAGTCAATGTGATGAATAACACAGTGTTGTTCAAATAAATTTCTAAAAGTTGATTTTATGTCAAAAGGTTCATTTTTATCTTTATTGGACTGGTTACTGAATGATGCTTCTCCTAAATCATTTGGTGCACGATTTGATGTTGCAACAATAACAGCTCCATTATCTATCATATGCTGAAGTACACCTGACAAAAGTGTGCTTGATGCATAATCAGCTAGTTGAACTTCATCAAAACATATCAACCAACAATCCTAGTAAAAAACTAATATTAAAAAGTAGTTGTAAAAAATATTAGAAATATTAATATATATATAAATAATTGTATCAATAATAGTAGAGTAATTGTAAAAAGATTTTTTTATAAAAATAAAAACCAACTAATATATACTAAATAATTATAAGTATACATACGTAAATAAATAAAATTATTTTTTATTGTAAAATAAAAATAAAAGTTAAATCATTTTATACCATTATATAAATCTTATAAATTTTCAATCATTTTTATAATACTCCAAGTAAAGTTTATCATCATCGACGATTGTATAATAGCATATAGTGAGGAAGATTATATCTTTGTATTAGGAACTACATTAGTCTGAATTAAAAAAATGAGAATCTCTACACACTAGTGATTTCTCTGCAGCTTAATGTCTATTTAGTTTTTTTTTGAAATTGTTATATTTTTATGTTCAGATAATAATCATATATAAGGTTTATATAAATCAGAAATCTCATTATGGAAACCATCCAAAAAACTTAAGTGTGGAACCATGGAGATAAAAAAAATTTTAAAAAGTTAAGATAAAAATTTGCCAAACCATAAGTCATATAAAGCATGACTATATACTCTGTTTGAATAAAACAGTCATGTTTTAGCTAACCTGGCATCTAAATGTGTAAAAACCTAATGATTACATTTTAATATGCTTTTTAAACGTCTAAAAATACAACTTGTGCCAACTGAGAATATCTTTAATTACATTTTGAGATAGCAAAAAGTCATGTTTTACTTTAACAAATTTATAAATAAATTTCAATTTAAAAAATGCTGATTTCTAGCTGCTAACACATTCAGAGGGAAGAAGAAGTAATTCAAAAAATTTAAGTCATATTTATTTAAGGTTATTAAAGAAAAAACTAACTTGTTTGTTTACATCCAAGGTCAAATACTCCATTAAAACTATTATTATTTCATTTAAAATAATATTTATAATAGAGATTTGGTGAATCAAAATTTGCAACATTCTACAGTCCGAAATGCATATTTTGAAACCTTATACATGCTCAGAATAAGCACAGATGAATTTAACTATGTAAAATATAAAACTGTATTAGAAAATCTATTGTAGGAGAATCAAAGCATAGCCAAATTTTTTTTTTTGTCATTAGGAAAACAAATTACTTTTTTTTAATCTTTACTTTAATACAATATTTTGTATTCTGATCACGGTTGTTTTGAGCTGTGAAGTTTATATAACAATATGTACTTTTATGTAAAAGTTGATGTACACAATTTGATAAATCTTTTTTTTTTTTGGTAATATTATTTGATTTTTTATAGAAATATTCTATTTCACTTTATTAATCCATATGTTTATTAACAATTGTTTTGATTTTTTAATTCAAGTTTTATATAATGCGTAAACACCATTTTTTAAATCCATTTAACCAAGCTCCACATATCTCTGTCTTAGTCTAAGCCTGTATAGGGTTTCAAACTATGACCTATATACCTATATAAAGCAATTGATACTTAAGTAGCACAAAACTGATTTTTATTATTATTATTTTTTTTTTTACACTGTAAATTATTACAACATAAATTATTATAACATAAATTATTATAATTTTAATGTGACAATGTTTGTATATTATTATAACATAAATTATTATAATTTTAATGTGACAATGTTTTGTAATAAAAAATTTATTATTCATTCAGTTTTTAATTTTAGCTTTACTTAATTTTAATTTAACTCTCATAAATAAAGGATTTCTAAACCTCATTTATAGTTTCAAACAATGAAATTTTATTGAGGTTTCAACAATTAAAAAAAGTGTTTGTTAAGAATATATTAAAAACTGAGCTTCCACCTTTTTTCCTTAAACTTTGCATATGCATAGAAGTAATCTTAAAGGCATTTAGGTCATTTATTGAAGCTTGGGCTTTGTATTTTATTCATGTGACAATTAGACATTTTTAATTTATTGAAAAATGAGGGTGGTTAAAAAAAAATTATTTTTAGGAATGCCTAAACACACACTCAAAATGTGTTATATAACACCCTATAAATAAAATTTCAGACAAATTTTAATTGCATTTATTATGTAATTTATTTCATGCACGCAAAAAACCTTTATACTTATTTGAAAGAGGATTTTATAATCTATTTAAATTTAATTTAATTAAGTTAAAAATATTATTTAAATATTGAAAAAAAAATGCTCAAAGTAAAGGACCTCGAAAAATTGATGGAAATTTTTTTCCAAAAAAATTGAGTAAAAGGTAAAGCCTTTGTTGCTAAGCAATTTATGGAATGGGGTTTACCCAGATCAACAGCTTACAATAAAATTGTAAAATTGGAGAATGGATCTCTAAAACGAAAAGTTGGAAGTGATCGAATCGCTAAGGTAGCTACTAAAATCGCTAAGGTAGCTACTAAAATCTCTAAGGTAGCTACTAAAGAAAACACTCCAAATATTGCTGTATTTTTTGAAAACAAGTCAGGGTGCTCCCAAAAGCAAGTAGCTCAAGTTTTTAAATTAGTCAAACTCGAATTTCCCAAGTATTAAAAACAATGACTAACATCACCAGAAGAAAGCTGGGCGTCCTATATGTCCTAGATTGCACAAAAATTATAAAAACTTGGATTTTGTTATGGATGATGAAAGCTATTTTACCTTAAACAATAGCACATTAGCTGGTAATGATAGATTTTATGCCGCTCATCCTTCTCAATGTTCTGACAAAGTAAGATACAATTTGCGTAAAAAGTACGAGGACAAGCTCTTAGTTTCTTATTGCATCAGCCCCCATGGAATAAGCCATCTTTGTATTCATCACAGTAAGCAGGCAATCAACAGTACACTTATAAAGAGATACTAGAAAAAACTTTACTTCCTCTAGTATCAGAATATTATAAAAAAGACAATGAGTTTATCTTCTGGCCTGATCTAGCACGATCACATTACGCAAAGTTGGCCATCGACTTTTTACAATTGAAAAAAATCAAAGTTGTACCCAAAGACATAAACCCAGCTAATGTTCCAGAAGCAAGACCAATTGAAAACTTTTGGGGTGACTTAAAACGGCTAGTGTATGAGAATAATTGGAGAGCTGAGAATTTGGAAGAGCTTGAAACAAGAATTAGATATTGCAATTCAAAGATGAATAAAGAAATTTTCCTTACTTAAATAAAACATCTTTCAAAAAAACCTTATAATATTGCTAAATATGGTATTTGAAATAATCATTTTAATATATTTATAAAATACATATACTAACATATTAACAGTTGAAATATTAAATAATAATACTTATTAAATCTTCAAATATTAATTTTTAAATTTTGTCCAAAATTTTATTTATGAGGTGTTATAATAAAATAACACTGGATTTAAAACATATTTGAATAAAAAATATTTTATGAGGTCTGGTAAGACATTTATCATTTTATTTAATAATAAAATTTATTTCATTATAATTATATTTTTTAATTTATTATTACAAATGGTTTTAAGTATTATTATTATTACATTTCAGCATTTATCATTAAAAAAAGTTTTAAAGCATTTTTATAATAAAATTTTTATATTAATTTTTTTAGAATTTAAATGTTTCAAAAATGTATAAAAAAAACCATTAAGTGACAATAAATTAGATTTGCATCAATGAAAAACTTTTAAAAAATTTTAAATTTTTTTTTTAGTAGAGCAAAAAACTGTCTATACTACCAAAACTAAATGAATTTTCATTAGAGAAAAGAAAAAATGTAAACAAAAATTAAAAAATACTTTCAAAAATGGTTAAAAAAAAAAAAATACTTTCAAAAACGGTTAAAAAAAAAAACTTTACAAAAAATAATCAACAATATAAATGTTTTTTTTTTTTTATTAATATAAATGTTTCAAGGTTTATTTAAAATTCTTATAAAAAACAACTATTTTAAGTAGGGCTAGCAATAAACTAGCGGTAAACCAGTTTACCGGTAAATTGGTTAAAAATTATGTTTAAATTTACCGGTAATTTTCAAATAATTTACGGGTAATTCGGTAAAATTTCATGGAAATTTTGAATAAATTATTAGTAGTATTTTTTTCTAACTAAAAAGAAAAATTCTACAAAAAAGGTAACTTTTTTACATATTATAAAAAAACAGTTAAAATCGCAAAAAATTAAGAACTTTATAATGGAAAAGAATTTTGTTTTCTTACAATATTACAATATGCATTTCTTAAAAAAAAATACAGCCTACTTGATTGATTTTTCTTAAATTTTCGTTTTTTAATAGAGAAAGAAAAATATTTTTATACAATTAGAATTTGTTTATGTAGTTTATTTATAATTACATTCAGTTTATTTTGTGCTCGCGTCCCATGTGGTTACAGTTACAGGTGACATTTTATTTAATTTAAATAGTGCATTAGTGAGTTTTTTTTAAATTATTTGGTTTTTTGCACTGGATGATAAAATTATTAAGTATCATAAAAAAAAATTGAAAATAAACACAAAACATAACTTTGAAAATAAAGCAAATATTCTATATTTTTATTGTGTTGAGTATTTCACAAAAAGTCTTTAAAATTATATTATAGAATATATTTGTATTGTGTTCCAAAATTTACATATTGATTTATTTTTAAAAAAATTGCCTTATCTATGATGTCTATTAGATCCGGACAAAATCAATTGTGGAATCATTTTATAAGTACGAAAGCTGGCCATTCAGCTATATGCAATGTATGCAAAAAAAAATTAAATGATCTGGCGGCAGCACAAGTGGTTTGCACAATCACCTTATTAGAAAACATAAAATTAATCTGCTAAAAAGAGTTCAACATGATGATGCAGAAGCTAGCTGTTCTAATATCAATACCACAACTTCCGTTACGAATGATACAAATTCTAGATCAAAAATTTCTGATTATTTCAACATTATTAAAACGATTGATGACTCATTTCCAGCTGTTTTAGCACGACTGACAGCACAAGATTGTTTATCGTTTAAAAAGATTTGCACATCATACG